GGGCCTCGTGGTTCTGTAGCTCAGGGATGGGGATGCTAGCCCCCCTTCTTGTGGCCATCCCCATGCCCAGCTCCAGGGTAGTTGACCATATAATTTATTGTCCAAACTTGGACACTCCCGAGTGTGAAAGGGAGCAGAGAGTTATTAATAGTTATCCTAAGACAACAGGTATAAATAGGGACCATCCCAGGCAGGCATGCGGATGTATGATCATCCTCTGTAGGAGCCATTTTTCTCAGAGATCTCCTGCCCTGAGCTAGGAGCCAACTGCTTGCCACCATCATCAATTCCAGAACAATTGGAAAATTCGCACTTGATTTCCTGCTACAGCAGCAGTGATATCCAGGCAGGGTGTGGTGGTGAGGATTAATGGGAGAGCATATTTTTAAAGTGCCCAGCCCAGCTGCCAGCACACAGTAGGTGTTCATAGTAGGTCCTCTTGCCTCTGTTCCTCATTCCACTCCACAGAAGCTCTATCTGACCAGTCTGCTCTGAATTCAAAGCCCGATAATAATAGCTCACATTCATTGAACACTGACTATGTGCCGGGGCTATGCTAAGTACTTTATACGTCTTATCAAGTTCAAGCCTAACAACCCTAAGGTAGGTAAGTATTATTATGTCCATTGTATGGTTAAGGCAACAGAGGCTCAGAGAGGTTAAGTGCCTCCCCAAGGTCATACAGCACAGAAGTGACAGAGCTGCTGTAGAAACACGGGGGCTGCCTGACTACACAGTTCATGCCTTTAAGCATTCTGTTGCATGAGGAATTGAGAGAATATAAGTATAGACAGGGCTGAGCCTTTTAATTCCGGAGCAGACAAGCCAGAGACCGCAGGCCTGTCACCCAGTAGAGGGAAGTACCGAAATTGTCTCTCTGAGTTGGAAGCAGAGCCAATGCATGAGTGAGAGATCAAGAAAGTTCTTGGATCTCTTCCCAAGGGGTCAGAGGTGGTGGGAAAGGACCCAACCATATGCAGGAGGATGGATAGCGCGTGGGAACTGAGACGGGGAAACCTGCCACCACATCATCTCTTTTAGGTCCTCTGGCAGGTCTCAGATGACAGAGGGCATTTAGAACACCTGAGTGTACGTGGACTGATTCAGTCGATTGTCCCATTTTGCAAGCGTTTTGATTTTGGTTCATTGCAGCTTTTTGTGGACATGCCTCAGCTTGGTTATGTTCCCCATCAAATGCTGATTGACATGTTTACATCAAGTATCTCTAAGTGCTCAGCTCTGTGGTGGTCCTTGGGGGAGGGAGTGTGGACTGTCATGAAGGAGTCACTCCCTAAATATAAGCCCAAGATTGCTTCTGTTTATTTACTTACTTATATTTGCCATGCTTTTGGTGTCCTCTTAGAACTTTGCATGAGGGAGATGTCTTAGCTAGTGCCAGAATACTGCCCCATAACAAACCCTCCCCCTAGCCTGGCATGTCGTGCCGAACATGGATTTAGCTGGGGCTCTGGGGGGATGGCTGGGGAGGCTCTGCCACACGCATCCGGGTTTGCTCCTGCAGCTGTAGGTCATCAATGGCTTAGCTGAGCTAGGAGGGGCTCAGCTGGGTGCTTCTGCAGCAGGTCTCAGGTCTGTGGATTGGCCCGAGTCAGCCCAACTCCGTGTCTCTCAACCTGTTTGGACTAGGGGGCTAACCAGGGCCAGGACCTCTCATGGTGAAGGCTGACACGCAACACATCCAGCTGCAGAAACCCCTCTACGTCTCCTGCTTGCGGCATGCCTGTCTTCATCCATTCTCAAGGGGTAGGGAGACACTACCAAGCACATGGCAAAGACAGTGAGGTCAGGGAGGAGAGAGGGACCCAGAAGGAGTAAGAAGAAATCATCATGAAAGACTCCTGCTGTCTCGATGTTGTTGAGAGGGTTGCCTGTTTCGCTCCCGGTGTCTGTCCCGTGTCAGCCGCAGAGAGGGTTGTGCTTCCGTCGAGCAGCTGAGGTATTTTTATTGGCTGAATGCTATGAGTCTCATGTTTCTCTTGCTGCTGTGGCCCGCAGGAAGCCCGGCATCAGATTCCAGCGCATCTCTACCTTATGGCTATAAGCGCCATTTCTCTCTCTCTCTCTTTTTTTTTTTTAAAGAAGATTTTATTTATTCATTTTGAGAGAGAGAGAGCACAAGCCAGGGGGATGAACAGACCCCCACGGAGCAGGGAGCCCAATGCAGGTCTCGATCCCAGGACCCTGAAGATCTGAGCTGAAGGCAGATGCTTAACCGACTGAGCCACCCTGGTGCCCCTATAATCACCATTTCTGATGCTTACCTGATGCAGCCCATCTATGGCTTCATCTTATCTTCTCCTTCTAAGACCCTCTCACCTGTTCCTTTTACCCTTTTGTATTGCATACGTTCTTGTTAACAGCTACAATTCTTTTCTTGAGTAAGGTAGAGTATAAATGAGCACACCTAAGTGCTAGATGAGGGGAATAGATAATCCGTTCCACTAATATTTACTGCACCTCTATTGTGTGCCAGGCTCTGTACCTGGTAGGGAGATTACGTGCTTGAGTCTTAGACATTCCCTGCCCTGTGGAACTCACATGACAATCGTCTGTAGCAGCGTTTCTCAGTGTTAGCCCTATTGACATTCTGGGCTAGATAATTCCGTGGTGTGTGCGGGTATGTGTATGTGTGCACGCGTTGTTGTCCTGTATATTGTGGGATGTTAGCTGCTTCATTAGGTGACAGTAGTCCTCATTAGGACAATGAGAATTCTCTCTATATTTGCCAGGTGTCCCCTGGGGAGCCCAGTCACCCCTGCTTGAGAAGCACCGGGCTCTAGTAAGTACATTCATAGGAGGTTGGGAGGCCAGGGAAAGTTTGCCAGAGGAGGTGAAGCTGGAGTGGAGGCCTGGAGGCCAGTTGGAGGAGCCAAGGGAAGGGGAAGGGAGAGGTCATTTCTGTTACACGGAGCAGGGGATGTTGGTGGAGCTGCACGGGAGGTGGTGGGGGGGAGAGGAAGTTAGAGATGTGGGTGGAGCCAGGTCCTGAAGGTAGGGTCTTATTGGCTGTGACACAGACCTTGGACTCATTCAATTCGGTGGGTCAGTGCTTCTCAACTTGCAAGATGTCTGAGAAGAGACCCTTGTTAAATTTGCACATTCCTGGGCCGCATTCAAGGAATTTCAATCCAGGATGATTGGATATGATGAATAATGCTATTATGAACATTGGTGTATACGTTTCTACATGGATATCTGTTTTTAATTCTCTTGGATATGTATGTAAGGGTGGAATTGCTGGGTCAAATGGTTAACTCTGTGCTTCACCTTTTGAGGAAATGCCAGCTTTGTTTTCCAAAGTGACTGCACCATTTTAAATTCTCACCAGTAGTGCATGACAGGTGGGTTTCTCCATATCTTCACCAGCACTTATTGTTGTCCGTATGTTTTCATTATGTCCATTCTAGTGGGTGTGACATGGTATCTCACTGCAGCTTGAATTTGCATTTCTTTGATGGCTAATGATGTCAAGCATCTTTTCGTGGGCTTATTGGCAAACTGTGTTGTAAAGCTTTGCAGGTTATTTTTACTGTGGAGGCAGAATTGGGAACTACTTGTCTGGGTTTAGGGAAAGCAGTGACGCTTGCGGGGTCATGTAGTTGGGAAAAGCTTGTTGCAGGAAGCTGAGCAGCCTAGAGAGGTTAGACCTGCGGCAGGATCTGCTGAAAGCGTGAGACCCCCTGGAGGTCCCCACAGGAGGGACTGGAGGGAAGAGAGCAGAGAGCCAGGTAGAAGGCTCCTGCATGGGTGGAGTGGAGGAGTCTAACTGGGGAGACACATGGAAAATTGGAAGAGACTGGACTTCAGGCCGATGAAGTACTGGGGGCAGAGGAGAGGTGAGAGATGGGAAGGAAGAGTCAGATTTTGAATTTGTTCTAGTTCAGTGGCAGAAATGGGGAAGCCATTTTGGGGAAGAAAGTGAGGATGGGTCAGATCTGGAATATGAACAGAGGAGAGGTTGGGACATAAACAGTGTAAGTTCAGGGTGCGTCCCCTTACTTTCTTTGAGTCTCTCCTGCCTCAGAATTTGGGGTGAGACTCCTTTGTTGCTGGGTGCCTATGGAAATTAAGTTTAGTAATGGATACCGCCTGGAAGGCTGTATTGACATGTACTTTGTTCACACATCTAATTTATTACCTTGTATTATTACTTATATTTGACTCTCTCACTATAAGACTGTCTTATTTGCCTTTATAACCATCTCATGTATTCATATAACCTCAGTGCCTGTAACTGATCAAGTCCTGATTTAAAGTTTCCTTCCTTCCCATTCTTAGCAGTTGAGCACTCACTGTGTGCCAGGAGTTGTGTATACCCAGTTATGTTCCCTCTGCTTCCAACAACCCTGGAGGTCCCGCATCCTTGGTTTACAGATGAGCAAAACCAGCCCTTCCAGAGTTACTTGGTTGTGGGCTGAAGAAATTTCTAGGGCAGTGGGGGAAGGGAATGGAAGTTTATTGATTCTCTGTTTTATGCCAGGGTATGTAGTTTTTCCTACTTAATCCTCCAATCACTCAGTAAAATGGGCATGATTATTCCCATTTTGCAGATAAGGAAACAAGACTCCACAGTTAGTGAATTGACAGGGTCTGACTGCAAAGCCCCTGGCCCCCCAGTGTAGCACATCGCTTCTCCTGATACCTTCAGGCAATGGGAGATGGGATCGCAGGAGGGGAAGGGTCCGCAAGAACTGGCAGGTGAAGCTCGTTTGGCACCTGCAGTACCACCCTCTGCGCCTAGATGGCGCTCAAGGCTTGGCTTCCAGAACACACCTGGGACTCCAGCCCACCTCTGGTGAACAGGCTACAGGTTTTATGCAACAATTTATTGTAAGGGAAGGAAGAGACTTAAAAAAAAAAAATTCCTCTGTTTTGTTTTTGTTTCTGCCTGCAAAAGGAATCTACTGCCTCTGAGCCTGCAGTTCATCTTTGTAGCTACGTCAGCCTCACGTGCTGGCACAACCTGGGGGAGGGGCTGGTGAGGGCCCTGGTAGGGTGAGACCTTTCCAGCAAAAAATGAAGTGAAATGGCCCCATCATAGAGAGCCCCCTTCTTGACCCTTTCATCAGAGTTGCTATGGTTTATAGATGTCAACAAATTCCCCCACCCTGGAAAGCAAGGCCTCTGCCAGTCAGAAGAAAGAATTTTGTCAGAGGTGGGAAGAGTTTCTCTTTTGGAGTCTGACCCCTCGTTTTGTGGATGTAGAAGATGGATGGTAAGTCATGGGTCTGAACTCCAGTCTTTCAGTGTAATTTTGCTCACTCCATTTGCCTTTTCCCTTTTTTTTTTTTTTTTTTAAAGCCTAAGCATTAGTTGCCCAGACTGGGATTTGCAAACATGGTGAGTGAAGTGGGTGACGGGTAAAGCATAGGGAGTGGTGAGGATTCTGGCAGCCTGGAGGTGCCTTTCTGTGTTTAAGGGGGCAACTGGTACTTAACCCGCCCTATGGGGAGATACTATATTGCCTACTTAAAAATTTTTTTTGGCCTGATTTTTTAAAATTGAGAAATCGGGATTTTTGTATGATGTTTCTTAATGTTTAACAGTTCCCAACGAAATAAAAGAAGGGGGTTGGTGAAAATATTCTTTGTGGTTTCTGATGTAGACAAACTGGAATGGTCTCCTACCATATCCTCGTGTGTGTGTGTGTGTGTGTGTGTGTGTAGGAGGAGGATTAGAAGGGAGAAATCAGAAACACCTGGTTATCCAGGTGGCTGGAGAGACGGGCTGTGTTCACTGGCCGACTAAGCAGATCTCTGGGAGTCTTGTGGGGGGGGTCGTCTTAGGTGCTCAGGGTTTTGTCTGGTTTGGGCAGCACCCTGAGCGGGGGGAGGGCAAGGTGAGGGGCGGCCTGTGTGGAGTAGACATTGCAGGGGGAGCTAAAATGGGGCACAGTGCATCAAGTCAGCTCAGAAGGGTTTTGCCTGGTGGGTTGGGGAGGTGGATTGGCTGGGCTTTCAGCTCCTGGGACCCATGTTCAAAGGAGACATAACTGTACTGAGAAACTGAGGGTCGTGTCATCTTTACTTTCTGCTTTTTCTTCCTGATTATCCTTAAAGCCTAAATGGGCGAAATGTGGGAACTCTATTCATGTACATTGTGGGTCTGGATATTATAAGTCTAATTTACTCCCACTCCCCCCCCCCTTTTTTTTTCTTTGCTTTGGCAACCAGGGAGCTTGGAGTCCCGTTGGAGTTGAAATATCTAAAAATGGTGCAGAACCCAGATGCATTTCCTTTTGGTCTTCATTTCTTATCCCATATATATTTCCCCTGGCTTTGTCTTTTAATTACATTTTCCAATTTTATTGTGTTGTGTACCTTCTCCAGAAGCTGCCTCAAGTCCTTTGTGGAATGAATAAAAATGCTTGTATAGTGGGGCATTTGGCTGACTGAACTGAGGGTCTAGATGCTTTTACTGTGAGCAATACCTCCCTCTCCTCCGTCCCCTCCAGGGCCCCGGAGCTTTTATTATGGGAAGGAGGGAAACAGAAGGGACAGACTGGCATGTTTTCCATCTAGCCCTCTGTGCTGTGTCTGAGGTCCTCTGATTAGAGGGACAGAAACTGACAGCTGTTTTTCAAGAGAGGCTTGGGGTATCCCAGGCAAGGTGTGGTGGCCAGGAGTTGTCACAACTGTCAGGGGGACTTTCAGTGGCTCTGGAGACAAGCAAAGCAGCTTCAGGGCCTGGGGAACAATTGATGACACAGGGCGGGTGAGCGTGCATTCTCCCAGGCTCCGCAGGGAATCTTGCTATTCGCTCTTCTCAGGCAGTTCAACAGATTGGAAGCTTTGGGGGCATCTGGAATAATCTGTTGGTTTGCAACAGCAGTGAAGCTTCCCTCAGCCTCTTTGTGGGCAAATGTGTGCCAGAGCAGGCGTGAAAGAGCTTGGTGGACTCTAATGTTAAATGCAGACGGACACATCGTGGACCCTCTTCAGGTTGACCAGGGACCACCTTGAGAGGGGTTAATCTCTGCAAACCGTCTGCGTGAATGGGGCACCTGTGTTGTCATTTGTGTGTAAAAGAAAGTAGGACGAGTTTGTCAGGACCTGTCAACATCAGAAACCTACATGTCCATTAATCCAGCATTTCCACTTCTTGGGATCTGTTCTACAGGAGTGTTTAGGTATATGTGGGAAGGACATATGTTCAAGATGTTCATTACGGCATTGTTAGTAATAGTGAAAAAGTGAAGCCGCCAAAATATCCATCAGGAAGGGAGTTGCTAAATTACAGTCGAGTTCCATGTAGCTGTTAAAAAGATGAGGTAAATTTATGTATGCTAACATGGAGCTATCTCCCAGATGTACCAGGTTTATTAAGCTATTGATCTATCTTTTTGTATATATAAAACTTTATATATATATAAAACTACATATAATACATACGTAATTCTATATAACTACACATGGAGCTCTATGTAAGTAAATATATGTATATGTGTGTGCGTAGATATAGTATGTGTATGACTTTAGAAGGCATCTGGGTTTGTAGACTGGCTGCTGATAACTGATGTGGGAAACAAAAGCAGAAGAAAAAAATTAAATTTCCTTACTACTTACAGCCCATTGACAAGTGCTTGAAATAGAGTTACCTTCCTCTAGAAACGTGCTGCCTTGATGTTAATACTTTGCTAAGGGCAAAAGGCAGTCTTAGCCTGACCGCCCCCAACCAGGATCCTGTGAGTCTACTTTAACATATAAAAATTCCTTCGGAAACTTCCTTTATCTCTACACCCCAAGATATATGTTGGCCATCATCCCCAAGCATGTGATCCACGGATATACATCTGAAGGGTCTCATGACTGAGTTTTTACTAAACAGTAATAAATGACCTTTTCCTAACAACAGCTAGCCCCCTCAAGGTCCTGGGAACCTCGTTTCCAAAATACCTTGGAGGTTTGTTCTGTCCCTAACCCTCTCCCAGTTTGAAAGTAACTAATCGGCCACTCCTCATGACCCTGGTGCAGCCCTTTCTGGCCACGGGCCCTGTCCCTGTGCTTTAAGAAAACCACTGTTTGCACCACAGAAGTCTCAAAAATTCTTTCTTGGTGGTCGACTCCAAACCCCAACATCTTTCCTACATCAGTAACTAGCTGATCATAAAAAGCCATTGTCTGTGGTTAGGGTCATAATCAAAATGTTCAACCACCCATAGGGTATGGACACTGACTCATGAGAATGGATGTTGGGGTGCATACTGGAGAACCAACCCTTACCGTGTCAGGTGTTAACCTTTTAGTTCTTAGATCAGGGTGGAGCAGGGGTCTGGGCAGTCCCAAGAGTGGCTGTTGACTAACAAGTATGAAAGGATTTCAGTATTTTAACCACTGGTATGGCTATACTGATGCTCCTGGTTAAAGATCAGCCTTGCCATTGGTAATCATATTTTAAAATTCTGTTAAAAATATGGCAGGCTTCCTATACCCTTATCTGTGACTGTCAAACTATGGAGTGGGCTCCACAGAGCAGAAGCGTCCATGAGTTCCCTGGCCCTGAGCTGTGGACTTGCTGCTCTGGGAACCAGATCCCTGTCCTGGACATTGCCTGCAAGTTCCGCTGTATCACAACTTGTAAGAGAACTAACCCAATCCTGCAGAAAACTTGGTATAATTAGTTGTTAATAACCAGAGCCCAGGTTCCCCACGGTGCAAATTGTTTCTGTATTGATCTCCACCTGCATTGTCAGCACTCTGGAAAGATTGAACTTTAAGTGCTTAATTCAGCCCCATTCAACCGATAATTTTGGTTTTGTCCTCCAAACAAAAGCACCGTTGTTTGTTCTTCTTTTTTCCTCCCACAAATAATAAAATCAATCAATTTCTCCCCCTTCCCCTGCCCAGACCTAGTCTGCTCCTGTAATCAATACATTTCGAAATGTCAATGTATTCCTCTGTGAGGAGCTGGGGAGGGGCTGAGCAGGAGGGGAGAGGATTGGAGCTGATGGGAGGACGGCTTCAGCATCTCCAGACAAACAGCTCGTTGTTTAAATTTGCTCATGGCAAATCCCCACCTATGTCAGATCTCTGGGCTTCCACCTCTGGATCTGTGGCATTGGAAATGGCCTTTTGGGTGTGGCTGACCAAAATACACATCCAACACTTTCACATTTGCTTCACAACCTCCGAAGCAAACTGGTAAGCTTTTGGCTTTTTGTATTTATCAAGTAAACTGTGTTAAGTTCACTCTCACCCCATCCCAGCTCACTCACCCTGAGTCCTAACTTTATTCATGAAGCTCGTGTCGGTGGGAGGCTATGGGGCAAATAGGGGAGCAAGGATGGGGAGAGAGTCAGAGTGGTCCGTTGGATGAACCAGAGCTTAACTAGCCAACCAGAAGTTTACTTTTCCAATTTAAGAATTCAATAATGTTCCTGAATGAGAGTTTGGACAAGTTGTCAGAGGTCACTGTCTGGGGAAAGAGGCAGTCACATGGAGTATCTACTGTGTGCCAGTAATTTTATAAATTTTAATTATCACAGTAAATCTTTCTGCATCCCAGAGATGAAGAAACAAATGGAGACCAGGTGAACTGCCTCGAGGTCACTTAGAAGGTAAATGACCACATTAGGAACTATATTATTCTGACTCTAAAACGTGTGTGTGTGTGTGTGTGTGTGCACGTGCGCATATGTGATCTCTCTGTGCCTCATTTGCCTCATCCAAAAAGAGAACAAAAACAGTACCTTCTCATGGAGTGGTTACAAGGATTAAATGAGCTATGCTTATAAAGTGTTTAGTCATATTAAACACTTAAAAATAGTTGGCATTGTTATTATCAGTATGATTATTCCCCTGATATGCATAAAACATTTGCTTTCAGAGATTTCTGGTTTGCTCAGTTGCAAAAACTTTTAAACATTTTTTATCCTTAAAAACGAGTGACACTGGAAATAAGAAAGATAGAATCTCTATCCTAAAGAGATGACCGTTTGGTTTTGGGGGTTTAGCGAAAGAAGAAAAAAGAGCAAGTTACAATACTGGGTCATGCTTATTATAGAAGGAACATAGGAAGGAGACCTTACACAGCCTGGGGAGTGGTAATCAGCAAAGGCCTGTAGGGGGATTTGAACTCATGAAAGATGATGATGAGGGTGAGCTGAGAAGCCAAGGACTGGGAGGGAATTGTGAACACAGAGAACTGCATATTCAAAGACATGGATGTAGGAAGAGACTTTTGGGGGACTTGCAGGTAGGCAGTGGCATGTCATGG